CAGGACTGCCAACAGGAGTGAAACTGAGTACACCCAGGGAGCCTGGACTGCAACCTAGCAGGTACCGTGAACTTAAAATTTGCCCCTTGACGAAGAGCCTGCATTTACAGTAACACAGGTAATGCTTTCGAAGGCTTGAGAGTAAATGCTGTAATTCAGAATCATGTTTTCAACCCTAGACATGGGGAAGGAGCGTACAAACCCGATTTTTAACACCATTTCTGCACAGAAATAAATTCATCAGATGAAACTACAGCAAAGGTGGTACAGGCTAGAGAAGGAAGAACCAGACTAGAGAGATGTGAGGAAGGTGTGCATACCACAAGCTACCCCTGTGCCTGCCATCCCAGCTAGTCCTGAGGAGCTTTTACCCCTATGTACACTGTAGTGGGCATCACAGTGATAACTCTCTCCCTAAGCTTTTTAAAATCCAATACACATGGATTTTAAATATATATGTATGTGTGTGTGTGAACACACACAAGGTATATAACCAGTGCGTATATGAAATACACTAGTTATTTCCACACCTCTATTTCCCATGAATGTTCACTGTACAAACAGTTTGAAAGAACTAGAAAACACAGCATACTAGGTTTGCAATAAATAATAAAAACCAAAACAAACCCTTAACATTTTAGTTAACTTTAATTAATACAGCCATTTGGCAACTTTTAAAACTTGACTTGTGGTTGGTTTGGGTCTTTTCCCAGTATAATCTGTTTGTTTAAGACAGTCCACTGGTCACGAACAGCTGCGCTATTTTTTTAGGTGCTTACTCAATGACCTAACTTACTTTTCCACAATTAAAACTGAAGAAATGTAATAGATTTTAAAATCAGAGGCTATGCTTTGAAGGCAAGATATAGGTGTTCACTACAACGATGATGATTTCACAGTTAAGCAGAATACTTATTGAAAACAGGTTCTTACCAATTACAGATAACACAACAGCCCAGCGGCTTTTACCTCATCTTCCTGCGCTCAACATTCAGATTAAAAAAAAAATCTCTCTCTGGCACTCTGCGTGCCAAGGAATTACCTTTACAGTGGATTACTCATGGCACTTAGAAAGCTCACATTAGCAGCTGCTGTTCCCTAGCCAAGACTCTTGTGTCACTATGCATGAAGAAACATTTTATCCAAGCATACTGAACCTATCTTGCAGGAAATCAGATCAATGCAGTTACTTTGTCCAGAAAAAGGTGCTTCTGTCAGTTATAACTGTATTTGCTTCAACATTCACGCACCTGGCCATCTCCTCTTGCAGCGGGGCGGCTCAGATGACTTAACACCTTTAGTGTCGCTGCAGCCAAAGGTGTCTGACTCGAGTGCGGAGAAAGAAACTTCCTCTCTGAAATCAAGTCTTGGTTGCTGATGTTTGCACAGCCTTTACCAAGCACACTCTCGGCTGTCAGGAGAGGCGCAGAGCCGGGAGCGCTTTTATTCACGGCCCTGCCGCCTCCTATGTCACCCACTGGCATTCCAAGGATGTTCTCCGCACAGATATCATTGTTCACTTCCCCATTGTCGCTGTTTTGAGTTATCAAGTCACACTGAACACTGTTTTGATACTTCAGCCACTTGCTTTGTCTGTATTTGGAAGTCACGTTAGGGAACACTGATTGTATGGATTCCCTTTGTCTGTCTCTCGGATATTCCTCAAACAAAGAGGTTTCATAATTTCTGTCCTCGGGGCTAAAAGCACTCATAGGAAATACCGCTGACTTGTTGCATAAACGGACGGCTGAAGAGCCGACAGACTGCTGGACATCCTCGCTGTCACCTGGATAAAGCGCACCAGGAATCTTCTCCGCGGCAGGAAGAGTGACAAATGGAGTTCGCCTTTTACCTGCGGGTTTGAATCTTGAGAGGTTCCGTTCCCCTGGATAGCTGGGTGTCTCCTGTGCTGCAGGGCAAATATATCATAAGAGCAACTTGTAGCACTTACCCGTCGCACATTAACTTCAGATGCACAGAAAACTAAGATAAAGAATTCAAAGTTCTTCCTCTTACATCCTGTCTTCTAACTGGCAAGCTCTTTGTATCACCCCTGTGCACCACCACACTAAATTTCCATACAAAACAAGTGATTTCTTTAATACTTAAATCCCTGTATTCAGAACACATTTCTGTAGGCACTCTGGTTGTATAAAAGAAAACGTCTGTTAGAAATTATTTAAACATTACTGGGTTTTGGAGGTCATTAATCTGATATTCGTGGTAGGTCACTGACAGCTGCCAACTGGGAAACAAACAGCTTAAGGTTTGCTCCTTTTTCCAGAATGGCCACCCACAAAACTGTGTAAATTAATATGAAGCAATGTAGATAAATAGGCTTCTAGTGCCACCTTTGGACTAAATTAACAAGAAATGGCAGTCATTGATAGGTGTCAGCTGGAAGTGGGCGAGAGGACAGCTGAATATGGAAGAAAATTTAAAGGAGGTAAACAAATGAAAACATTAATGTGAATCAGAATTTTAGCTTGCAGCCTCCCCTCCCTCCAAACTAGAAGCTGATTTTTCTTGATGAAATTAAGTCACCCCCCTGCAGTATCCTTCGGGGGAATGTATTGGAGCAATGGGGAAAGCATGGAATTGAAGGCTAATTCAGCTGATTTGGAAAACACTGCTTAAAACCGTGCTTCAAAGAAGTAACACGCTCCCTTGTGGAAAACACATGACAGACAAGTCGAACGCTGAGATACATATCGGTGTATCCCAGGGTAACTGTCTACTGTAGCACAGCTCACTGTGCTTCAAAAAATCCAAGAGGATTTTCCAGCAAAAATATTGTAAAGTGTAATTATAAATTGTAATTTCTTACAGAAAAAAAAATCGTGACGTTCTGGTTCATGTGGTAAGGTGCTGTGTATCAGGGGCTCCTGGATGTCTCCAATGGCTTCCTCACTTCTTGAAGCTGGAGAAATTGTAGAGTCTGGATCAAGTGCAGAAGTCAGTTCTACTGACGAAATCACCTACAGGTGACAAATTAACATATCAGGTCAATGCCTGGAAAAAAAACCTTGATTGGAGCTCTTTTGTCACTGTTCTCCCTCTCATCATTCTAAACAATGGAACTGTCTCTCCAGGTTGGGATAAAAGTATCACAAATAAGAAATTGCTACCTGGAACACACACGAAATAAAGCCAAAAATATCTAGAAGAGGCAGTCAACCCACACCTTGTCAGGTTCCCACGGAGTCCGCTGCGTTTGTCTCCAATCTGAAAGCGAGGGTGAGCCTGTCATTGCCCACGGTGGAACTTCAGAAAACACATTTGCTGCCGGTGCTAGGGAAGGACACAAGTCATGCAGAATACCTTTTCTGAGGCAAATTGCTGCCATTCTACTTCTACCTTCACTTACGGGATGGATCTGTTCTTGACTCTTTCATCATGTTAGACTCCTGGCAATTCTCTTCTCTGATAACGCTGATATCCTCCTTATGAAGAGTTCTTAAACCTGGAGGCTTTACCAAAAAAGTATCAGCAAGAGCTTGTTAGAAATTAAAACTGTTGATCTTCTACGTTAATATTATCTTTGTGTCATCCTTATTTCTACAGCTTGTTTCTAGACATAATGGTTCAGTATCGCTAGCCCATTCTGGAAATAAAAAAAAAAAAAATAGTGATTTTTTCATTATTTTAAACACTGAAATATATACTGGATTAGGAAAAAAAAAATTAATGCTGCGTGTCATGATTCTTTGCACCGAGGATGAACAGAACCATAATCTAAGAAAGCAAGTTTTAACCCATGCTTTGGAACTCTGTAATTACACACCAAATTTCAAATCAAGTTGAGGTGAGTATTATATTGCTGTGCTGCTTTTAACTGGGATAGTTAGTTTTCCTCATAGCAGCAAGCATGAGGCTATGTTTTGGCTGCACTGAGAATATTGCTAGCATACTGACGTTTTTGGTTGTTGCTAAGGAATGTTTATGTCAACTCAAGGACGTTTTCAGTTTCTGCACCTGAGTTCCCAGGTTCTTCTCTACAAGAAGCTGGGAGGGGATACAGCCAGGACAGCAGATCCAAACTAACCAAAGGGACATTTCATGCCATAAAACATCATGCTCAGTATTAAAGCTGGGGATGGGCTGAGGGTGAGGCACTCTCTCTCGGGCTCTGGCCCTCGCTAATCAGGAACTGGCTGGGTATTGGTCAGTGAGTGCTGAGCTGCTCTATCATCTCTTTTCCCTGCCATTATTTTCATTACATATTATTTAGTACTGATATTAGTATTGTTAATTATTGGTATCATGATTTGTTTCATTTCCTTCCAATTACTACATTGTTCCTATCTCAACCCACAACTTCTTTTCCTTTGATTCTCCTCCCCATCCCACTGGGGAGGAGGGAGGTGAGCATGATGCCACCCAAATGGCATCTTGCAAATGCCTATTCCTATGACAAAGATGAGTAAAAATAATTCTCTAACCGCAAAGTTTTAACCATAAAGCAACATGCTTGGTTCTTAGTGATTTTGATGATTGCAGGATTCTAAAAACTTCTATCCTACATTTATAGGATACTTTTTTTGCACTAAGATTAGTAAGAATAACTTTGAACAAAATTGTTTTACCTGTCTGAAGTCAGAAAGGACATAACTCTCTGAAAACAGGGGCGACAGAAATCTCTGAGTGGCAAGCTCTGTCTCATCCGGGAACTGCTGCCATCCCACCTGTGAGCAGGGAGCTCTCGACATTGTCTCACTAGCTGCTGATCCCTTTACTTGGTGCCCTTGAAACGCAACAGGCTACACGATATATTGGGATTATCATTAACTGAAGATAAGTCCTGTTCTGGAACTACCTACAGTCAATAGAAGTACTTTTCATACGTACAACTAAAATATTCTCTTGGGAACTGCAGAAGAGAAAAAAAAAGAACTGTGCTTTTCCCTTTCCCTCCTGCAACTCAGCAGCAATCAAGCTTTTGCACAGATCTCTGTCAACAGAAAATTGATACTCTGAGGTAGTATGTTTAGTCTTATTTTTGTATTGTAAAATTTGTGTTTAAAACTCGGCAGAAAACACCCCACAGGCAAATGTACTAAAAAGTGATGAGAAGCCTGTTATGAGACTGGTTAAATTATTTATTGGGACTTCTTGTAAGATAGTGCAAATAGTAAAGCATTTAACTGAAATTTAAGAAGCGCTGTTTGTTATGTCTCAGCTCCACAGAAATTGTACCTTTGGCTGGCTGTCAGATGTCCTTGGGTCTCTCTGGGCCGCTGCTATCGGGAGAATACATGCCTCTCTTGTCTGCAATAAACTGTCCACACAGTTTGGCTGAATATAAAAGTATTAAAAGCTAATTAGTCTAACCATTTGAAGTGAAAAGCTAAGAAATACGAAGATTTTTCCAAAGACCTGATGTATTTATACAACAGAGAGCATTTAAAATTACAGCCTTTTTATTTGGAAGCATGAACAATCCACGACAGGATAACAAACTATATTTGCTACTCAAATGGGTCAGGAGGAAGACAAGAATTTAATCTAAAATCTTTCTTTCCCTTTGTATGGGTTGAAAGAAAAAGACTATTAGTAGCACTGGACAAAAATCAACGTGAAGCACCAAGCGCAAACAGATTTGCCACTGTATTTCAATCCAGGTGTTAAAATTCTGAGGAAAGACATGCATTCAAAAAGATGGGAAAATGAAAGAAAAAGTGGATGGTAATAGAAGACGGGGTAGGAAAGGAGAAGTAGAAGACATACTAATGTGGTATTAGACATGACTAAATACTACAATTTTCATTAAGTTTCTTGTCATACACTAGGCCTCCTGAACACTTATTTGCAATAGGCTCTGCAAGAGGACATCTTCTGTTTTCTATCAGCTTCTTAGTTGATGCCTCTAAGCAATTTCTAGCTCAACCTCTATTGTGTCATAAACCAAGAACTCCATTCAAGAAGCCTGGTAGAAAATGAATTTATCTTGTATACATAGATATATGTAGTCAAAAATTGGTTACCATAAGGCCAGAAGAATCAAAGTATGAACAGGAAGATGCCTGTATACTTTCTGAGTAAGGCATTTCCGTAAACTGTTTTACAGCTACAAGAGATGGAAAAGCATAATAAGTTACAGTATTCTTTTTACATGAAAACATCTGAATATTTACTGGGCTTGCAAACCTTACCCACACAAACAATTGCACCGCTAGGATTTAACTGAACTAAACCAAACAAAGATGCAGACCTGCAGCTCACATTGTTGTTTAAACACTAAAAATGGCATGAGGGAACCTTCATAACCCATCATGCCAAAAGTATGGTTTCTGAACATGAGTTGTCCAGGAGAGGTAAGAGTACAGAAGTCAAGTAGGTACAGTCAGGCAGAGTCACTTTAAAATAGAAGCTGATCTAACCTTTGCCTTTCACAAGGGGATCAAATATCTCTTTTGAAGTCTCTGCTTCATACAATATGCTATTATTTTCCTCCATCTTTTGTAAGCTTTCTAACGCTGTCCTATGTTGAGTCAAAGCTCTTAGAAGAGCGATATCATTTACCAAATTAGGAAGATCTGATGAATTTTCAGCCCTTGCTGGGCATTTCAGGCAATCCATTCCTATTCTTTCACCTTTGCAGACTTCAGGAAAGGCATTTATGGTCTCTACATTTTCCAACTCAGTTTCACCTATTGCTGTTTCCTCTGGAGATGAACAGCCTTTTGCTAAAGGATAGGTAGAACTTCTGGAAATGAGAGTATCTTCGTTATGAGAGATGTTAAATACCTTCTGAGGGTCTTCTGCAATATAGTGGAATGAGCCGTAGCTAGGATCGGATTTTTGTGACAAAGCCAGCATAGGACTCCCTGGTTTAATGCCATCACTCTGAGCAGCCCAGAAGTGCTCTAAATCAACACCTGGAGATTTCGTGCATCCAGGCTGTATAACATCATCAGCCCTTTTGTCCACTGCAGAAATTATTCTGCTGGTTGAAATACTTTCAGTTTTCTCAAACATACTGGTTTTAGGGTGGCATTCATTAATGTTTGTGTCACCAGACAAAAGTCCCAAGTTTTTGCTTTTTATCCATGAAATGCCATTAATGGCATGCCCTGCACAGCCATCAAGATCCTTCTTATTGTCTGTGGCTTCAACACTTAATTGACTTTCGTTGCTCTCTTTTACATCATGCCCATGAGCCAGAAGTTCCACTGCAGTTCTGGTCTGGTTTGCAAAGTCTTCCGCAGTTCTCCCTGTATCTCCAACACTGTTGTCACAAAGCTGAGACGGTGTACCCCCAATGCAGTCATTTCCATCGATCTCTCTGTCAAATCTTGGACATTCAACTTCTTCGGTTTTGCCCCGTGGCACTACTTCACAGCAAGAATGAAGTCTCAGTGCACTGTTTTGTGCTACATCTTCCCCCTTTAAGCAACCTGGGCTTTGTGAAAGCATGTCCCCTTCAGCGAGCTTATTCACATCTCTTTCACACAGTTCTTCATTGTCTGTGTCATTAAAATCAAAAGCTTCCATGAGATTAAAGTTAACCTCCATCACCTCTTCATCTGGACCGCAGTCTTTGCCGTGGGTACTTAATGCTTCCTTTACCATTCCCATCTCAGTTGATGTTACCTCCGCAGAGAGCTCCGGCTCACCAGGCACTCTTTCTGAATTCTGACTCGGCTGAAACTCACTTTGCAACTTCACAGATGAATCTTCCTTAAGACCGATAGCCACTGCATGGTCCCTGCATCCGGAGAGATTTTGTCCAAAGGTGACTGCACTTGCTGAACACAAAACATCACCCGAGGATGGGAAAAACTGACTATCACTCATTCTACTTCTGGTGGATTCAGGTAGGAAGCAATTATTTGTATTGCAGGGATCTTGCAAACCTTGACTTAAATTATTTGCCCTTTCGTCACGTCTCTGTCCTGCAACTTCTTTATCACAAACTTGTTCAGCTGAACTTAGAAGCATTTCAGCATTCCATTCCTTTTTATCATGTACAGTTCCCTTCGTAAAAGGCAGGTGCTGAGTATCTTCTATGTGTCTTTTGGCAGAGTGGCCTGAAAACACAGGTAGGATTCTGCTTTTTTGGTTGTACAAACTATCTGCGTTTTCTGATGCCCGAAACCTGGAAATACCTTCTGTGACTTCAGACATTGTTTGCTCTCTGCATCCCTGTATTGGTTCAGACTTCAACAGGGCGATTATCTGTGCCATGCTCCTGATGTTGCGTGACACGGCGCTGTGACCAGCTGGCTGACTACTAGGTTCAGCATGCCCAGTAAAGAGAGGAGATTCTGGCTTCACAGTGAACTGGTAAGAGTTTTGCTTCTCCGTCTCCTCATATCTGTCAAGAGACGGAGCTGAAAGCAGTGAGGAAAGAGACATGTGCCCTCTATCATCATCTGTAAGCGTATCTTCACGAAACTCTGCAGAGAGATTTGTTTCTGTATCCTTCTTGCAAATCGTAGAAAACAATGGAGAGGTAATATAAAACTTGGACGGAAAAGTACCCTGACACTGCTTAGACAAAGGCAGTATTGTTGTTTTTTCTTCATCTTCCATTGCTGATATTTTCTTTTCAACTTGGCGTGGCCCTTGGAAACCCTAGGAGAGAAATTTTTAATTAATTCTACGCAGAAATCAACTTCACATTTTGTAATCAAACGTTGAAAATAGGACACACTCCATAAAATACATTCTGATCAAGTATCACGTAACGATTCCATGGGTGGACAGAAATAATCTCAAGCCCTTGCAATTTCCACTGCAGCCTTAGCAAGAGCAGTCCTCTTAAACCAAACAGATTTAGTAAACTCTGGAAAAAACAGCTACCGGTAACAACTTCAGGCTTACAGTTCCATAAACCCAGGAAGACATTATCTATATTTTCACCGTTCATTAGAAGATGTGCCCTCTGTGTTTTAAAATGCATGTTAACACCAGGCATAACTTTTGAAACAAAGACGTACTGTAAACTTCCTTTTCAAGCCGACCGACAGGTGTCTCGGAGGCAGAACACCAGGTGTGACACTGTTCCTGTCCACTGTTGGAGTTCCTGCCTTCCTTGGCTGATCTTCAAAAGATTTTTCAGTCACTTTTACTGCTTCAACTGTGATCAAATACCGTTCACTTTCTAAATTATCGCCAGCATTCACCTAGAGAAAAGAAAGCAGCAATGTGTACATAACAGGGCTATATAAGAAACAATAAGTCTTCTAATTACTTATGTGTCAATATTTCATAAATGTACACCCAGCATATGACAGCTGCCATATAAATACTTAGATTAAAATATGCATATACTAGAAAGCATTAGCACTTAGCATCAAGTTAGGCTTACTTAACATATCATTGTAATACACCCCTTTTACCCAAAAGGAATAAAATTCCATAAAACACCTACACTGGATCTGGAAAACCAAAACTTGTCAATAAATACAAGCTGGTTTTGCTTTCCATTATTTGCATTGCAGCAGACTTTCAAATCCACAATAAGTACTACCTTCGTTACCAAATAAGAGTTTGAACTGCTTCCTGAAACACAAACATCAATCTCAAGCATAAAAATAAAAAAACTCCAAACAAAACATACCTGAGAATTTATAAAAATGCTCTCCAAAAATTGTCCATGATCATCAAGCAAAATAGCCTGCAATGAAAAAATAGAATCTTAAACTACTAAATTCACAGATAACTAGATTGCCACTGAGAGTCCAGCAGTAGCAGATGACATTAAATCCAACAGTATTAAATCAGAGTTGCTCACCTTATTTCTGCCAGTTCTAACCCTCAGAATTCCATCTTGCCATGTTTTTGATTTTTTCATTTTCTGGTGAGTGTACAATACCTGTTTTATATGTGTAAAATGATGAAATAACAATAAGTAAGGAAATGTTTAAATAATACAGCAACTACAGTGTCCTTGAATTCACTTCTACTTAACTGTACAGTGTTAAAAATCACTTACAGTAAATTCTTGAGAGGCCATTGCTTTCCAAAACAGTCATCCAACAGCTTATTTCACATCTTCACACATCAAATATTCACATCTTCATACAGCCTGAGAGACAGAGAATTGTTCAGAAGCCACCAGAGTTGTGAAGGAAATGTATTAACAAAAGATAGATTTCAGTTCACTTTTTTTTTGCCCTCAAAAGAAAAGAAGCTAGATGCAAGACAACGTGAAAACAGTGGGGTGAAGCTGATGTATTTTAAAGAGAAACCTTGAAAACAATCTAAATGACCACTGGTTAAATTTTTTTTAAAAAAAGGGTGTTTTTATAGATGCCAATATGTTTTCCAATTTTCAGGGGAATTCATTTATTTAAACCAACGGCTGGCAACTCTGAAAACTGCAGTGATCATGCTGCTATTCAGTATTAACAAAAAAACCTAAGCATGTTTACTTGCAGAAAGAAAAAAGCCATAGAAGCTATTAACAGAATAATTTTGTTGCAAGTTTATCGAATCCAGACTTGGTCATGCACGTTCAAAACATATCAAAGATAACTGACTCAGAATCAGTTACCCATGACGTCAAACCTCTTTGCACATTTAAAGCTTGATCAAAACAACTTTCACAATAGCCTTCGAAAATGAAACCAGGAACAAATAATTGTGAAAGCAACTCATTTCCAGAAGTGATTTACATACTGGCTTATGTTTGAGTGGTATTGCGGTCTGTGTTTGGGGATCTGTGACCTGAATTCAACCCGTTACCAGCACTGCAATGAGAACGATCACAAGAGACAAAGTAGGATTGACAGCTACTCCTACCACAGTGGATTAGTAAACTTATATTAAGAAGGAAAAGACATTCACGCTGTTTCTTATGGCTGACACCTTCCTGGCAGTCTCAGGTGTGCAGTAAAGTACGAAATCTTGGAAAGCGACACCCTTAAAGGACCCAGAATTACTCCTTCAGCTATTAAAAGCAGCTGGATAAATGGAACGCTGACTAGAGCGTTATATATACTCTATATATACGAATGCCACGGGAAGAGGGGGATGCGCAGGAACGCTGCCGGCCCAGCACGCAGATCTGCTAAACCCACTTTCTCCACAGAGCCGAGGCGGACCCTAAGCCCTTTTCAGCCCACC